TGAGTCATACGGGCTTGAAACCGTTTACTTGCAGTGAGTGTAATGCATCTTTTAATCAAAAGAGTGTTTTACGTCAACATATAATGACTCATGCTGATGAAAAATTCTTCAGTTGCGATCAGTGCAATGCATCTTTCAAAACAAAGCGTCTTTTAAAGCAACATAAACGTGTCCATACAGATGAAAGACCGTTCAGTTGCACTAAGTGTAATGCATCTTTTAAAAGTAAGAACGGTTTGGTTAGTCACGTGATGAGTCATACGAGCTTAAAACCGTTTACTTGCAGTGAGTGTAATGCATCTTTTAATCAAAAGAGTGTTTTACGTAAGCATATAATGACTCATACGGATGAAAAACCATTCAGTTGCGATCAGTGCAATGCATCTTTCAAAACAAAGCAAATTTTAAAGAGTCATAAATTCGTTCATACGGATGAAAGACCGTTTAGTTGCACTAAGTGCAATGCATCTTTTAAAAGGAAGAAAAATTTGGTTGTTCATGCGATGAGTCATACGGGCTTGAAACCGTTTACTTGCAGTGAGTGTAATGCATCTTTTAATCAAGAGAGTGCTTTACGTAAGCATATAATGACTCATACGGATGAAAAACCATTCAGTTGCGATCAGTGCAATGCATCTTTCAAAAAAAAGCAAATTTTAAAGCAACATAAACTTGTCCATACAGATGAAAGACCGTTCAGTTGCACTAAGTGCAATGCATCTTTTAAAAGTAAGAACGGTTTGGTTAGTCACGTGATGAGTCATACGAGCTTTAAACCGTTTACTTGCAGTGAGTGTAATGCATCTTTTAATCGTAAGAGTGTTTTATGTCAGCATATAATGACTCATACGGATGGAAAACCATTCAGTTGCGATCAGTGCAATGCATCTTTCAAAACAAAGCGTGTTTTAAAGCAACATGAACTTGTCCATACAGATGAAAAACCGTTCAGTTGCACTAAGTGCAATGCATCTTTTAAATGGAAGAACGGTTTGGTTAGTCACATGATGAGTCATACGGGCTTGAAACCGTTTACTTGCAGTGAGTGTAATGCATCTTTTAAATTAAAGAGTGCTTTACGTAGGCATATAATGACTCATACGGATGAAAAACCATTCAGTTGCGATCAGTGCAATGCATGTTTCAAAACAAAAAGTTTTTTAAAGAAGCATAGACTCGTCCATACGGATGAAAGACCGTTCAGTTGCACTAAGTGCAATGCATCTTTTAAAAGGAAGACCGGTTTGGTTCGTCACGTGATGAGTCATACGAGCTTGAAACCGTTTACTTGCAGTGAGTGTAATGCATCTTTTAATCAAAAGAGTGATTTACGTGAGCATATAATGACTCATGCTGATGAAAAATTCTTCAGTTGCGATCAGTGCAATGCATCTTTCAAAACAAAGCGTCTTTTAAAGAATCATAAATCTGTCCATACAGATGAAAGACCGTTCAGTTGCACTAAGTGCAATGCATCTTTTAAAAGTAAGAACGGTTTGGTTAGTCACGTGATGAGTCATACGAGCTTGAAACCGTTTACTTGCAGTGAGTGAAATGCATCTTTAAAATTAAAGAGTGATTTACGTAGGCATATAATGACTCATAGGGATGAAAAACCATTCAGTTGCGATTAGTGCAATGCATCTTTCAAAACAAAGCGTGTTTTAAAGCAACATAAACTTGTCCATACAGATGAAAGACCGTTCAGTTGCACTATGTGCAATGCATCTTTTAAAAGTAAGAACGGTTTGGTTAGTCACGTGATGAGTCATACGAGCTTGAAACCGTTTACTTGCAGTGAGTGTAATGCATCTTTTAATCGTAAGAGTGATTT